GGGGGGGAATTTGTCACAAAAGAATTGATCTGAAATAATTCTATAAAAGTTCAAAATTGTCCATTTTTCTACTTTTTCTGGGAAATTTTCTTATTTTTCCGCAAAATTTTCGGACTTAAAAATCCCTACGAAACTTCTGTCTTGCGCGCGCCTCACACCGGTCTAAATGTGCCGCGTTTCGTCTTCCTTCCACAGCCTGTTTGACATGGGCGCCAACTACTACGGCTACGCCTCCGACATCACCTGCTCCTTCCCCGTCAACGGCAAGTTCACCGCGGACCAGCGCCTCATCTACAACGCCGTGCTCAAGGCCAACCTGGCCGTCATGAACGCCGCCAAGCCCGGTGAGTCTCTGCCCGAAAACGGCCGGCGCGGGCATTCTGCTCGCGTCCTCTGTCATCTTATTGTCTTATACTGCGCCCCTTATTTTCATGCGTCCCGCTCTTCCCAGGTGTGTCCTGGGTGGACATGCACCGCCTCGCCAACCGAGTCATGCTGGGCGAGATGGCCGCCGGAGGGCTGCTCAAAGGCGACGTGGACGACATGCTGAAGGTAAGAGCACACGGTCTCCGCGAGCCCGCCGCGCTCACCGACACACGATATTTTTCGTCCATGATTGTTTTCCGGGAGCAGCAGACATGAGTTTGCTGAGTGGTGCGTAAAGCGCCTCCTTGGTTTGCGCTTTGGCCGCTTGTGCGCCCCAAGGCCAAATGCCTGGCCGCTGGTCCTGGTCTCGAGGGGGACGCTTCCGGTCACTGGACTAATTACCACTACACCATATAGCCCAAAAGCGCGTCCGAAATACCGCGCCCACAACTTTTTGTTTTCAGTACTCGACGTAATTTTTTTTTTTTTTTTTTTCAATCGAGAGCAGGCTGGACTGGGCGCTGTCTTCCAGCCGCACGGCCTGGGCCACTTCATGGGGCTGGACGTGCACGACGTGGGTGGCTACCTGGACAAGGACCCGCCCAGGCCCACCGAGCCGGGCGTCAGCAAGCTGCGCACGGCCCGCGTCCTGCAGCCCGGCATGGTGCTCACCATCGAGCCCGGCTGCTACTTCGTGGACCACGTAAGTTTTCTTCTCTGCCACTACGCATCTCTCCCCGCGTCCAGAAAGTACGTCCGTTTTCCCCCAGACTCGTTTCTGCAACTAAACGGGGAGCTTGACGCCCGCGCGACTCAGGGTAGGCCAGCCCGGAGTACACGTATGCGCTGCAGGCAAGATGTTGCCTACCTACCAGGCGCTACTGTGAGCTCGCAGAAGCGGAATTTTGCAGTTTCGTAAGGGCGAATGCCGGACTTACTCTCCGGATGATCCCGCCTAGGAGGTATAGCAGGCGGCAGGATAGCCGACTCAGTGGTTTGTCGTTCGTTCCGCTGATCCACTAATTTTGTTTGTCTCAGCTCCTGGACGCCGCGCTGGCCGACCCCGTCAAGTCCAAATTCCTAGTCGCCGATCAGATTGCGCGCTTCCGAAACTTTGGTGGTGTGCGCATCGAGGATGACGTCCTCATCACGGAGACGGGCTGCGAGGACCTCACCAAGGTGCCCCGCTCGTAAGTAGTTGCACAACGAGCCTCCCCCCCCCCTTTTTTTCGCCCGGGATTACGGGCGTGTGCGATTTTGCTGCGGCGCTGACGCATGTTGTATTTTTTTCCAGGGTGGAGGAGATTGAGAAAACTATGAAGGAGAAGGAGGGTGGCGTCGAGATTCCCTCGCACATCACCAAAGTCAAGCATGGACTCCCCTCCAACTGGCACCACTGAGACCCCGGCACTTGCTGCGCGCTCATTCGAGCACCCTGTACTGAAACTGTTGGCTCTTTTACAGCCTTTGTGTATAAATCAGAAAAAAGTCATTACTGATGATCGTATTATTTTTGTATGAATATTACTTGTTAAGGCTCATGCTGTTATTTACATGGAATAAATAAGCCACTGTGATTTTTAACCGGCGTGACTCTGTTACTCACCTCTATGTGGTGATCGTTAGTCCTGGAAGCCCCTCCTGGAAGCGATTTAACTCGACGGCTCCGCGCCGCGCCTAGTCACTTTTCTGGGGATCTTTGGCCCCGAGCTAGTCAGGTAGCCCGGCGGCTCCAAAGTCCACCCGGGACAGCGACCAGCCTCTCGAGCGACCCACCGCACCGCCTCCCCCAGAAGGCTCTCCTTGCGCTGGAACCGCTGGAATGGGCGCGTGGACGTGGACGGTCCGCCAGGACACTTTTGTGTTTTGTGCTACAAAAACTGCAGTTGTACTGACACACACCTCGCTACTAACAGAAGCTTTTCTGTTCCTTTTTTGCTACGCGTCTATGGCGCGGAAAGAATGAGAACAAATTCAAGCCGCCAACGTACGCGCCACGCAGCATAACTCGTCGGTTTTTCTCTGGCGTTATTATTCGGCGTGTTTAGTTGTGTGTGTATGTTATCAAAGTGGCGTATAAAGGTTTTCCTTGAATCAAGCGCGCATCTTTATGCATGAGGGTCTGGCCGCGCTTCGGTAGCGCCGGCGCGTGGGCAGCGACACAATTTCGCGCAGTCTGAAAATTTGCTAGTCTCCTTTACAAAAAGCGACGGCAAAAAGAGGGCGCGGGAGAGCGTGTGGCTGCCTACCTACACGGGGGGGTTTCGGCCGGCTCGCGCCGTTCATAGGGGAAAGTTGTATTTCTCGGTATTTCTTATTTCGATATAGTTCAAGAGGGAAGGACCATAGCCTTGCTCAGATTTTGTTTCCGCCCTTGTCTTAAAGGAATCGGCAGAGTCTTTTTATCAAAATGGGAAGCTTTTGTCAATCTGCTCATCTTGATCAATGTGGGAGACTTTCGCCTGTATCTAGAAAAGTGTGTGTAAGAAGGGGGGGGGGGTATAGAGCCCTGTATATGGGACTGCCATGTAGGACTCTACCTCTCGGCAACTGATGCTCGCAACAAGACTCGATCCAAACTGGCCCCACGATTTTGCACTTTAAGCCCGCGCGCTCGACTGAGGCGCGGCTGCGGCTGCGGCTACGTCGTCGGCGCTGGACGGACAATCCCGACAAAATCACAGCAATCCCGGCAGCAGCTTGAGCAGCAGCAGCGGCGGCGGCAGCAGCAGCAGCAGCAGCGGCGGCGGCAGCAGCAGCAGCAGCAGCAGCAGCGGCAGCAGCAGCGGCAGCAGCAGCGGCGGCGGCGGCAGTAGCAGCAGCAGCCAGCGTCCCGCTATTTGCGCATGGGCGCTCCTCGCGGCCCGCGGCTGGCTGGCTGGCAGGCTGGCCCTCCTCTCTGGTGTGGCGGGGTCAGGGATCGGCGCGCGGCGGCCGATGAGCATTAAAGCCGATTCGTGTGTGTGCCCCGCGGGTAGGGCCCTCCCCGCTGCCATGTGCCCGTCGCGGTGGCATTACGAGCCAATTAGCTCCGTCCTGCTACATCAAAATCAGGAGGAGGATGCGCCCCGGCGGCCCCGGCCGAGGAGCAGGAGCGGGAGAGGGAATGCCGCCGCACCGCGAGGTAGAGGAGGAGGAGGAGGAGGGGCCGCCGGGTATAAAAGGTGGGGAGCGCCCGGCACTTGGCGCTCCCGCGTCCCCGTCCGTCGCTGATCCTCGAGCTCCTCGTCGTTCGGCAGGAATAATTCAACAAATATGGCGCGCCCTGTCGTGGTGAGTCTCCCCGGTGGTGTACGAGTATGCTCTGTCAAATATCGCGCCGTCGTTTAGAGCCCTAGATTGAGACTCCAAGTGTCGTTCAATGAGCATCGAGCGTATCGTGTGATGTGTGACCATCATGTGCTCGCGAGTCTCGCGTCCCGTGTTGCATCTATATATGGTTGTCACGTTACGTGACTCTTTCGTAGGTTTCTCGCCCTTTCTGTAAAGTGAAACTGATCGTACTCCTCCATTCGTTGCAGATTCTCCTCGTTTTGGCGGTTTCGCTCGCCGTTCAGGTGTCGCTGGCGTTTCCCCAGGTACGTTATTTGTTCTGTTTGTCAGTTTTCTTTTAAATTGAGTTGTTTGTACAGCGGTGTTTCTTTTTCTTTCCCCATCTCTTAAGGTGAACGTCAACTACCCTGGTGGTTTCGTCAGTGTTCCCAACAGAGGCCAGGGCGGAGGCGTGCAAGTAGCCTATCCAGGAGGATTTGTCAATGTGCCCAACAGATTTTCAACCTTCCTCAGTGGCGGACGTCCATCTAATGGTTTTGTATCTTTTCCCGGTGGCAGCGTTAATTATGGAAAATAATATGATGTGATAAATATATA